CGTTTATACAATATTTTCGATATACACCGAATTCTTCCTAGATCGAAAATTTATAATATTATTTCTTCGAACGTGTGTTTGAAAAATACTATTCGGGCCGTCGATAAAATCACAATTTAGAACCCGGCGTTTCAATCTTCATTTATCCAAACCCAGTTACAGCTAAACAGAGTGCCGAACGGGGATGGCAGACGAACGGTCGAAATTCTAACCAGGAAAAATTCGTCGGTACAAATTCTGAAAATCGAAGAATAGTTAAGTGCCAACTTCTTTCGTACATCTGCTTTTTGGTACCAGAGCGTCTGACCACTTTTTACATTCTACGCGCCGTCACATTTACTGAGCGAACGAACCGCTAAAGAGGTGTCTAAACGCCAAATGTAAACCCTAATTTTCAAACTTTATCCGCATTTTTATTTTAACCACATGTACACTATTAAGATAACTGTTGGCCGATGTCTATTGGTTACATTTTGCACGTGTATGTTAAATAAAATTCAATAATCGCACGTCGCGTTTGACAAAATGTATTTTCGTTGTACGTCAAACGGTAGCGGCGATCACCTGTCCATATAAGCATAAACAGAGACCACCGCCCGCAGTGGCGTTTTCACGATCATTTCGTCCGGACAAAAGTCGAACGCCATCCCGTATATTGGCTTTGACCCTCTCGGACGACCGCGGTTTTATGTGTATACGGACGGCGCTGCAGTGGCGGCAGAGATTCCAATCGTTTTCTCGGGATATTTACGATCGGTTTTTCGACTGTTTCTCGTTCCCTCCCCCTCATCTTGTCATTGTCGAGTTATATATATATATATGTACACCCGCGGCGCGTTGCCGCCGAAAAACCGTGGCCACGTCACACGGGCCGAAAAAAAAAACCAAATTGAATAGGTAATAAAATACGTATATACAAGCCGCGCTCATGTAACGCGTCCCTGGAAGTCCCTGCGCGGGTTCGGGCTACTACCTGTGCGGGCACCTAAATCTGGCGCGCACCCTCGCCACCGCCGCCGTCGTTTTCGGCCTACAGACTGGCGCCTGTCACGGGGTAGGTAGTTGTTTTTTTTTTTTTTTTTTTTTTTTGAGGGGTGGGGGAGGTGGGGGTGTTTGTATCCTCCGGCTGCGGGATTCGAATTTCCTGCTATCGGCGTAGTGCCGTCGCGTCGTCCGACACGAAACGTTCGCGGTTCCTAAATAATATTATGCGCAAATGCGGTGCCACCACGTCACGTCCCGAGATCTAAGGTAAGAATATTTTTCGTTTCTACGGTGGAATTTCGCTATACAACTGCTGTTGTCAGAAAACCGACAATGTTCCTGGGCACGATAACGTTACACTGTTTTCGACCGTTCTTGTCCAACCTCTATTACCCTTGTCCGACTAGGTTTTTAGATTTTAGCGTTATTATACCGTTATATATGCTCCTCGGAGCGGTATCTGGTTTAGAAATGACGGATTTTTTTTTCGTATTTTGACGTTTACGATACTGCGCGGGCTACATTTCCCTTATCGTTTTTCTGACAACTGTATTTTGTATACTGTAGTTTATTATGTGTACACCACCTAATTTTCGTTTGTTTGTTTATTTGTTTATATGTTTATGTGTGTTCACTGTATGCGCCTGCGCAAATAGTACTTTGGCGTTTTAAAATACCGTTATTTTGAGTCCCAAAAAAAAATAAATATATATCTCGACAGTCACCCGATCGTGTTTGGCTCGTTCCGAAATTCAGCGACGTTTAATCAAAATTATACAGTATTGTTGTGAAATTTTGTAGTTTGAAAATATTGTATTTCCGGATCTAACGTTTCATTTATCTGTTTTTATGATTGGTATTATCTTGTGAATTCGTATCCGCCCCGCGATTTAATCCTATTCCAGCGATAAGATCGTGTCAAAGATATAAACAATAATATAATATACTAGACAAGTAACCGTTATAATATATTGTCCGTGCACTTGCTTAAAGCAACCACTGACCGCCAAATTTGTTTTTGTGACGTACGTAATGTTATCAACTATTTATCTGCGGATTGCTGCGCTAACCGATGTATCTGTACCTACTCTTACCATTGTTACCGCGGTGACCACGACCGCGATTGTTCCTTATAACACACTGATTCAACGAACGATAAGTCCCGCGAGCCTCGAAACGAAACGGCGAATCGAAAATTTCGTGTAATATCACTAGACAGCAGACAGATAGTTTATTGTGATATGCGTATCATGCCTATCACATTATTTGATAACATACAATATTTAGAAAAACCGTTGCGATGGTATTAGGATCGTGATACGTTATCAAACGCGATGTGAATATGTATTCTCGACAATAACCGATCTTCCAACGGAGATCCGTTTGGTTAATAATATTTTTTCGTTGGTGTACGTTACATAGATATTATTATTATTCTCTTAGTGCGACCGAGTGTGGTCGGCGGTGGCAGTAGAAAAGATAAAAAAAAAAAAAATCGTAAAAATTCATCGCACGTGCCCCGTTGTCACATACGCACACGTTTCGTACCTATACGGACGGAAGTGACGATGGCGACGTTTTGTTAAAGATCACGGGGACCTAAGCACCCGGAGCCTCTTATATTGGGTTTCACGTGCGTTTTAATATTTTTCTTCTGTTTTTTTTTTTGTCGTGTGCGGCATTAGAAAATATGGTGGTGAAGGTGATGGTGTAGATGGTGGCTACACATGTCTCCTATTAGACAGATGCGTCGAAAGTGCGTGTCGTGTCGGCCATGTGGCGCGCTTCTGCTGCTGCCGGACGTCGTCGTCGTTTCCAGCGCCCGTTCGTCCCCATAACAAAAATATTATGTATACGTGCAGTCATCAACAGGTGATCTCGGCGATTCTCCGTTTTTACCTTAAAATCATTACCCTTATAACGGCGTTCGTGTACTCGTATTCTTCTCGAAAATCCTTTTTTTTCTCCTCCCTCCGTCATAATGCTCATCTTTTATTGTTACCGGTCGACAGAAACCCGACGGGAGTTTGTCTGATACGCGCCCGACCCGCCCGACGACCGTCGTCGGTAATTTTCTTCTAATTTCTATTAAGCGAAATTTCTCGAGGATTACAATGATACTGTGTATACATACTATTATACGGTCATTTGTACTCGCATTGTCAAACCTGACGGTGCGGCTGACGGTAATTATTTGTACACGCTTGTGTAACAATATATTATATACCGTTTAGACGCGAGGGCGTAGTAAGAAAAAAAAAAACGCCATTAAAAACCGTTCTCGTCGATCGACGATTTCGGACGTATTCGCTTTCGTTCCGTCCGTCCGGGCACTGCAGTGGCGTGCCCGGGTGGGGATGTATACAGTAATAGCAAACAACGATCGTGATTCGTGAAAATTAAATATCGTAGGATCTTTTTCCGTTGCGCACCGAACCCGGCAACGATGACAGTTTAAAAACACGGATCGTCCAGATATTGGTGATTTGTAAATCGCCCCGTTTTTCCTTGCGATTCGACCGAGATATTATGCAATTTCCCGATAAAATGACCGAATAAAAATCGCTGTCGGATAGTTACTGCTGTCGGTTTTATTGTTTTTCTCGGGCCGACGGAGGGGGCTTGAAAAGAGTGACGGCTTCGGAGGGGACCGGCGGACGTGTAGTCACCAAACTCCACCGCCCCTTGCGCGCGCCACCGTCACCGCGGCCCGCAGCTGCGTGCGGGCGCGACGCGCCCGCTCGACGATATTCGATTTCCGGGTCGGTCGTAAAACCGAAAACCGTATATCGAAATCGCATTGTCGGTCCGGACGTACACAATACGGCCGGGCTAAAACCGCTCGAAGGCGATTCGAAAGATGAAAAAAAAAAAAAAAAAAACAATACGAAAAACCCGCGGCTATGTACGCCGACACATTATAATGTAAACAAAATCCGGAAGCGTGTCGAATCGATTATCCCGCCGTCGTGGAAATACGCGTCACTCGTGTGTACTTCAATAGGTATTGTATTTGTTTTCCCGCCAAAAACTTGTCGAGAGGCGCCTCCGTTGTATTGAATATACCGAAATCGGCGATCGTGCCTTCGCGTACCGTAATTCTCCGTCTTGGTCCGAGCAATACGAATTACTGCAACAATTCGTTAAACGTTTCCAACATTATATTGTCGACAGCGTGTAGCTAATAAACCTACGTTATTACAATAGGCGTCCGGATTCAGTAGTATAATATTATTGGTATAGCGGTTTTATAATCACTGTCGTCAACAAAAACGATTGGGAGGGGGTTGCGAGGCTAAAATGGTGTTGCTCCCTCCGATTTTTACCGAATCCGATGTGAAAATGACAAATGTGACAATGCAGGCGTACTTTGCCCGATAACACAAAAGTCGACCGCTTTTGAAAGAAAGTGGAAATCGCATCATAAGTCTGCGAAATTCGTCCTTTATATATAAATCTTTTTGTTTCACGCGATATTTAACGACAATAACTAAATACACGATGAAACGATGTGCCTCCTTTACATCCGCGAGTCTGTAAGAACGTGCACCCCCCTCCCTCCCATTTATTCGGAGTCGTTATAGTTTGGCCGCGAAAATACCGTACGCGAATAATTTTATTGTAAGATTGTGTATATTCAATGTATGATAAATATCGTATGAGTTTTATCCCGGAGATACGGAGTCCTTCTCCTCCCCGAAAGGTCGGGATTACCGAGTCCGCGAAAATCGTATCCGATTTTTTATTGTCGCATTTCGTTTTTACTCGATGAAAAACGTTTTTGACTAATGACTCCGGTTTTTTCCGACCTCTCTCTATTTTATGAATTCTTGACGATCGTTCACCGGAACGGCACCGCGGTGTAAATAGTTCGAACGGCCTCCCCTTACCCCTCCCTCCAACGTGTACAAACACCGAAGAGAAAAACCGATTAGCGTCCGTGATTAATACGTCTAAACGACGCCGAACGATATATTATGATCTCCTTGACCGGGGACCATTCGACCGTCCGTTCTTCGGCCGTCGTCGTCGTCGTCGTCGAGATTTCCGACCTCGGACCTATTATTTTTCAAACGCGACCCTCGATCCCCAAATACGGTCCGTTCTCCATTTTTGTTCCGTTATTAATAAATGCAATTTTTTAAAATGTTGCGTTCTCGGTTGCAATATCCCGACCCAACCTTATTACTGTCCTGCAGCCGTTTTAGTATATTCGTGTCAAAATGTATTATTTATTTTATTTTATTATTATTTTTTTATGTTTTTAAATATCAACAGACATGAGATTCTCCGCGTTCATCTAATATATAGACACACTCGTATCTACCCGCCCCATAATATTCAGAGGCCTCTCGAAAACCCTTTCGTCGCGTCGAACGCTCTTCGGCTTTTATTCTCTCGCGCGAAACGTTTCGTATTTAAATTGCAATTAAAAAAAAAAAAAACCCGTTACCAATAGCGTCCGAATAATTTCGTTATTATGTCAAGTTCGGACGGTCTCTCTCTTTTATTTCGCCCGATATTAATGTTGTTCGTTTTTGACGTTCTCTTGTATATTTTCGTGGCGTCTTAAGTTCCCGCTTTTTCGGATGACGCGTGTCGGCAATATTCAACAACGCGGCTGACAATGTAGTGACGAAATAAAAACTGATATCACTGGTTTCCGCGACGCTCGGTGTTATCTAGTTTTGTTTATTTACGCGCGCCTGTTTTTTGCGCCGGACTTTGAGGCCGACCGTTCGACCGGCCGCGGACGCGATAATCGACGGGAAATTTCGCGGTCCGGTTTCTACGTCCTTATAACAGATATGCCTAACAACATAACGCCCGGTCCGAATCGATAGATTA